GTCCATTAGGAGTAGAGATCCTTCTCCTGATCCGCGACGCCTCCGCCGCCGCGCGGACCAGCGTCCTCTCCCGCCGCTGGCGCCGCGTCTGGACGCTGCTCCCGGAGCTCCACTTTCTCTCCCACAATGACCCCCACCGCATACGCCTCGCCCTCACCGCCCATCAAGCGCTGGCCCTACGCTTCCTCGATGTCGCCGTCATTGACGCCACCCCCGATTCCATGGTGGCCTCGCTTCAAATCGCCGCGCGCCGCCTCTCCGGCCATCTACGAGGTGTTCTCCTCTCCGGCCACTGAGGAGAAGTGGAGAACACCTCGTTAGACGAGGCCGGAGAAACAGGCGCATTCGAGCTGCCCTGCTTCGAGGATGCCATGTCCATCAGCCTTGAACTAGGCCGTCTTGGCCTCGCTGTGCCGTCTTCGGGTGTATTCGCCCGGCTCACCAATCTCTTCCTGAATCGTGTCCGGCTACATGGTCCGTCAATGCTTGGTGACGCTGTCTCCTGGCCACGGTGCCCATCCCTGCGGAGACTCATCGTTCATAATGCTGACGGTGTGCGCAACTTCGCAATCCACTCCGATTCTCTCCTACAAATGGAGCTGAGGAATCTCCGGTCAGATAATGCCCTTGATCTGGGCAACTTCACCATTCGTTCAGACTCTCTACTGCGAATGACTCTGTCGAGTCTGCGTGGCTTGGAGCAGCTCACTGTGATGGCGCCGGCACTCCAATTTCTGAGTGTGAGCTCCTGCATTTCTTATAGTTTGAGAAATAATCAACCGGCTGCAAACATCTCGGCCCCTCAGCTGATATCCCTCCAGTGGAAGGATGATTATCATCCAAACTACACCCAGCTTAAAATGGAAAATCTAGAACGGCTGAGTGCCCACCCTTTTTACGTATATGGACAAGAGTCGCACAAGACGTTCAATAGTAATTGTACGAGGCTTCTACGGCGCTTTGAGGTCATCGGGGTTCTCAAATTAATGCTTCTCTATCTGCCGGTGAGTTCACTTACACAATAGTAAACTGCAACTCTCGTAGTAGCGTGGTCATGGAATAGACCTTTCTGGTTGATTCCCGGACGGTAATGGACAAGCACACATCTAGTCCTATACTTGTAAATTGGACAAGAACTCATGTAGTCATGCGCTGATGCAACATGGTCTTGGCCTCATTGTTGAACTGAGATCTTGGTGTTCACTCGAACGAAGCTTCCCCCGCCTCATGCCATGGCTCACATTCGCCTGTCCTGCTCCTTGACACAGAGTTTCATGATAGAAAAGACCCGGTCTCATAGGATTATTTGCCGTCATTTATCCTTCCTAGCAGCTTCATATCCTATGAGATGGTGTTACTTTTATCTGCCTTTGATCAATTAGCGTTGAGGTTACGAACTACTATCGCTGCACTAGTATATTTGTAATTCAAGATGGCACATGAGCTCGGACTTGCTACCGTAAAAAAGCGACCGCTACCACTGCACTAATATATTGATTATTCTTGTGTGTTGTTGACTTTCTGAACAAGTTACTTGTGTCCTTTCTATTTGTACATATCATTTTATGTGACCTCCCATTACTCTACTGCAGGGAATTACTAACCATGAGTACTTGATGGAAGACATTAAAAAGATCCCAAACACTTCATTAATGGTCCTGGAAATAGTGGCAAATGGACATTCCTTTGGAGCCAGTTCATTCCATGTCCTCAGCATGTGTATTGGTGTCAGGAGGCTTCTTCTTAAACTTGTTGACGCACCTAGCCATCTGGTGGTAATATTATCCTAACTTTGTTTATCTAATACCATAGTATGCATTTATATTTCTTGGCATGCGTAAGCTTGAGTTGCTAGTTGCCCTACTCTAGGTGTTGGTTTGATACTGGATGCTTTGCTCCAAATTATGTGGCAAATATATGGCATATGTATCTCCCAAAGACAATGCATATTACTCGAGGTGTTGGTAACGTCATAAGTTTCCCAATTTAGGGGCTCAGTTGG